GTCCCGATGGGTATACAGCAGAATTTTACAAAACCTTTAAAGAGGAACTAATACCAATACTTTTCAAGCTACTTCAGGAAATAGAAAAAGAGGGAGAACTTCCAAATTCATTCTACGAGGCCAACATCACCCTGATACCTAAACCAGACAAAGACACTTCAAAGAAAGAAAACTTCAGACCAATATCTCTAATGAACCTAGATGCAAAAATCCTCAATACAATTCTGGCGAATCGGATACAAAAACATATCAAAAAAATTGTGCACCATGATCAAATAGGATTCATCCCTGGGATGCAAGGCTGTTTCAATATACGGAAATCAATAAATGTTATTCACCACATCAATAGACTTAAAAATAAGAACCATATGATCATCTCGATAGATGCGGAAACAGCATTTGACAAAGTACAGCATCCCTTTATGTTCAAAACTCTAGAAAAACTAGGGATAACAGGAACATACCTCAATATTGTAAAAGCAATCTATGCTAAGCCTCAGGCTAGCATCATTCTGAATGGAGAAAAATTGAAGGCATTCCCTCTAAAATCTGGAACAAGACAGGGATGCCCTCTCTCACCACTTCTCTTCAACATAGTTCTCAAAACACTGGCCAGAGCAATTAGACAGACGAAAGAAATTAAAGGCATAAAAATAGGAAAAGAAGAACTTAAATTATCACTATTTGCAGATGACATGATTCTATACCTAGCAGACTCAAAAGGCTCTACAAAGAAACTATTAGAGCTAATAAATGAATTCAGCAAAGTGGCAGGATATAAAATCAACACGCATAAATCAAAGGCATTCCTGTATATCAGCGACAAATCCTCTGAAATGGAAATGAGGACAACCACTCCATTCAAAATATCTCCAAAAAAAATAAAATACTTGGGAATCAACCTAACAAAAGAGGTGAAAGACTTATACAATGAAAACTACAGAACCCTAAAGAGAGAAATAGAAGAAGATCTTAGAAGATGGAAAAATATACCCTGTTCATGGATAGGCAGAACTAACATCATCAAAATGGCGATATTACCAAAAGTTCTCTATAGGTTTAATGCAATGCCAATCAAAATCCCAACGGCATTTCTTGTAGAAATAGAGAAAGCAATCATGAAATTCATATGGAAAAATAAAAGACCCAGAATAGCAAAAACAATGCTAAGCAGGAAGTGTGAATCAGGCGGTATAGCGATACCAGACTTCAAACTATACTACAGAGCAATAGTAACAAAAACAGCATGGTACTGGTACCAAAACAGGCGGGTGGACCAATGGTACAGAATAGAGGACACAGAAACCAATCCACAAAACTACAACTATCTTATATTTGATAAAGGGGCTAAAAGCATGCAATGGAGGAAGGATAGCATCTTCAACAAATGGTGCTGGGAAAACTGGAAATCCATATGCAACAAAATGAAACTGAATCCCTTTCTCTCGCCATGCACAAAAGTGAATTCAAAATGGATCAAGGAGCTTGATATCAAATCAGAGACACGCCGTCTGATAGAAGAAAAAGTTGCCTACGATCTACAGTCGGTGGGGTCGGGCTCCAAATTCCTCAATAGGACACCCATAGCACAAAAGTTAATAACTAGAATCAACAAATGGGACTTACTCAAACTAAAAAGTTTTTTCTCAGCAAAAGAAACAATAAGAGAGGTAAATAGGGAGCCTACACCCTGGGAACAAATCTTTACTCCTCACACTTCAGACAGAGCCCCTAATATCTAGAGTATACAAAGAACTCCAAAAATTAGACAATAAGATAACTAACAACCCAATCAACAAATGGGCCAAGGACCTGAACAGACACTTCTCAGAGGAGGACATACAATCAATCAACAAGTACATGAAAAAATGCTCACCATCTCTAGCAGTCAGAGAAATGCAAATCAAAACCACCCTAAGATACCATCTCACTCCAGTAAGATTGGCAGCCATTAGGAAGTCAAACAACAACAAGTGCTGGCGAGGATGTGGGGAAAAGGGTACACTTGTGCATTGCTGGTGGGACTGCAGATTGGTGCAGCCAATTTGGAAAGCAGTATGGAGATTTCTTGGAAAGCTGGGAATGGAACCACCATTTGACCCAGCTATTCCCCTTCTCGGTCTATTCCCTAAAGACCTAAAAAGAGCATGCTACAGGGACACTGCTACATCGATGTTCATAGCAGCACAATTCACAATAGCTAGACTGTGGAACCAACCCAGATGCCCTTCAATAGACGAATGGATTAAAAAAATGTGGCATTTATACACAATGGAGTATTACTCTGCATTAAAAAATGACAAAATCATAGAATTTGCAGGGAAATGGATGGCACTAGAGCAGATTATGCTAAGTGAAGCTAGCCAATCCCTAAAAAACAAATGCCAAATGTCTTCTTTGATATAAGGAGAGTAACTAAGAACAGAGTAGGGACGAAGAGCATGAGAAGAAGATTAACATTAAACAGAGATGAGAGGTGGGAGGGAAAGGGAGAGAAAAGGGAAATTGCATGGAAATGGAAGGAGACCCTCAGGGTTATACAAAAGAACATACAAGAGGAAATGAGGGGAGGGCTGGGGATGTGGCTCAAGCGGTAGCGCACTCGCCTGGCATGCGTGTGGCCCCGGGTTCGATCCTCAGCACCACATACAAACAAAGATGTTGTGTCCGCCGAAAAAAACTAAAAAATAAATATTAAAAAATTTTTAAAAAAAAAGAGGAAATGAGGGGAAAGGGAAAAATAATACAAGGGGGAGAAATGAAGGTCAGTAGAGGGGGTAGAGAGAGAAGAGGGGTGGGGAGGAGAGGGGAGGGGGGATAGTATAGGATAGGAAAGGTAGCAGAACATGACAGTCACTAGTATGGCAATATGTAAATCAATGGATGTGTAATTGATGTGATTCTGCAATCTGTATATGGGGTAAAAATGGGAGTTCATAACCCACTTGAAGCAAAGTGTGAAAGATGATATATCAAGAACTATGTAATATTTTGAACAACCAACAATAAAAAAAAAAGAAAAGAAAAAAAAAATTAAGGATAGTCATGTGACCCAAGTTCTGGTCAAAGAGATGTAAGAACTACCTCTAGACATTCTTTCTGTAAAAGCTAGCATGTTTCTTTTGACACTTTGCTTTTCATACTCAAACTCAGAAATCTAGATACTTGGTAACATTCCTAAACTCTATACCCGCCTGTAACTACCTTCCTCACTCAGACCTCTTGGATAAGACAAGAGGCAAGCTTTTTTTTTTTCTTTGCTTGTAGCTAAATAACCTTAAGGACCATATTTTCTCTATTTCAAAAGACTAAAAGTACTGTCATATCCTGCTCCTGTCCAGCACTGCTTAAAATAGTTCCAAGATATTTTCCAAAATTACTATCAATTTTTAAAACTGTCAATTTTTTCATGAACCCTAAAAATAAGGTCTCATTTCCTAAAGTGTAAAAATTCTTCTTCCAGAAGCAATTATAATCAAGCATTCCAACTCCAAAAGAAATGGAACAAACAGGAAACTTTTATTTAAACTGTTTAGAACCTATAATTTGACTTCTATTAATTCCCAAACTGATTTTTTTAATTCTATACCTTTCACCACCTCTATAAAGAAAAAAATCTTCTTGCTTAATAGTAACAGCCTTTTTCTGTAAGTACTGATTCTCTGTCAGATAGTGGGGGGGGGGGGAACTATAACAGAGAATAGCAAAGAGTCAAATACTGTATCAATTTGACTTGGCCTTTCATCCCAAAGATCTGCACTGGGGAATTAGCAGAAACCAAATTTATGATCTCAGTCTAGTTTGCAGAGTAATGAAAAAGTAAGCAACAAGGTCAATCATAAGGAATTTAGTTAATACAAACCTACCCCTCCCTCCCTCCCTCTCTCTCTCTCTCTCTCTCTCTCTCTCTCTCTCTCTATCTCTCTCTCTCTCTCTCAGATACTGGTGATTGAACCCAGGGGCACTCTACCACTGAGTCATATCCCCACCCCCTTTCATTTTTTGTGACAGCGTTTCACTAAGTTGCCCAAGCTGACCTCAAACTTGTGATCCTCCTGCCTCAGCAAATTGCTGGGATTACAGGTCTGCACCACTACACCTAGTCATTACAAATTTTTCTATTACTATTTCTATTACTCTAAGTCATAGGTCTGCAATGTCTTTCAAAAGATCAAATTTCTTCAGTAAACTAAATTAGGTCATAAAAAAAATGAATTCCCTGTGTAGAGATTCACTAGCACCAGTAAAATTAAATACCCCACTACTGATATATCATGATAGTTATGTATTCTAAGAAATTTAATTTATACAAAGCAGTGTATTTTCAGCTAAAATAAAAAAAGGAAAAAAACAATGATAAAACCATCACCTAGCTTTTTTTCTAAAAGGCTAACTAAATGCAATAGGAAAACTGTGGGGGTAAAAACAGTGAAAGAAACTGACAACCTACACAGGTTAAGTTGAAAATATATTAGAAAATAATTATTAAAAATGATAAATAACTCAGAATTAAAGCATTATTTAAAAAAACTCAAAACATTAATATTCAATGATCTCAGATAATACTACGTGTAATGGCCTACCTCTCTAAAACTGTGCAAAGACTAATTTTTTATATCTTTACACAAACCAACATAATTACAACAAATGTAACATGGACTTGTAGGATTTTATATCTCAAAGAGAAGTCTGCCACTGAAATATACCTCAAAAAGAAAAAGAGTTTCATGATACCAAATTTTAATGTATTCCAATTGTGGTTGAATTCGAAAATCCCTAAGCCCTTTGCATCAATTTTTTAAGATCTTTCAATCAAAAATTGTATAGCTCTTTATGCTAAAAGCAAGATATGCCACAGACATGGTTATTTAGAAATTAACTTCTACGTTTTTAGTGAACAATGAAATTCAAAAGGAAATGAATTTTCTACTTGAATTTACTACAAATTAGAAAATAAAAATATTCAATATGATATAAAATATTCCAGAAGACTGTCAAACCTTAAAAAAATCTTCAAGCTGTTTACTGTTGTAAAGAGCTGGAATATTGGCAGAGAACTGTAGCAGGTCTTCAGCACACTGTCTTCTCTCTTCAATAACAGTTTCGTCAAATCGCCCTAGAATTAAATAAGAATCAACACTTACAGAAAGAACAACCAAATGCTGCTTCATGACAGTTTGTGTCCAGAGATTAGAACGCAGCAGCTGGCCTACTACTGCCTATTTGCTTATTATGAAAATTTCTGGAGTCACATCTAGCCTCTATAGTGAAAATAAGCAAGAAAAGAACGTTTTTGATAAAACAAGAGGCAGAGGTATCAGTTGATAAATAAAGGCGTGCTCATAATCTAGAACTTGTCAATGTAAGAATTTTACTATATAAGAAGCTGGTGATTTGAAAAGAGAATTTTAAAGGACTCAAATGGTTTTCCATAGTAATTTAATACTATAATTACTCATAATTTTCCCTTTTCTACTCTTTTTTGTTCATAAAGGGGCTGAAGAGAGAAAATTATGAGAATGCCTGTATTATCAATGGGGTCAAAAACCTCAGCTTAAAGCAAAAAGCTTTTATGTTCAAGTACGTGTGTGATGCCGTCTGCATCCATGACAGCACGCTTGGGAGAAAAAAGAACCCACAGCAACAGTGAGTTCCACTTTATAAGGTGATGAAATGTTGGTTTTCACAGAATGTTTTAATGATATATACAATTTGAATGCTGAGAAGACATTTTTAAATATGATCATTTTGTATGGCTCTTAGTTTAGATAGCTGTTTGGCATTTGTCACATGCCTTGTTTCTTACTGATTGCAATATAGGTTTAAAAAATACAAAATCAGAAGAGTAGCATTATCATATACTTCAACAATTTAAGTGGTTTTGCAAAGCAGTAATAAAAAACTAAGACACAAAGAGACTCCTAGTTATATAAATCAAGGCAAGAATTTGAAACTGAACCGTTAAAAATCCTTCTACTCAATGTATCTAATGCTTATAGTAAAGTGTCTATTTCATGATAACTAAAAAAGGATACTGATGTTAGACCTGGGTTCAAATATAAGCTCCAGCATTCACTAGCTGTAAATCCTAAGGTTGATTATTTTCACACTATAAAATGGAGAGAAGTAATAATGTACTTAAGGCTTACAGTTCCATGTCAGGTACATGGTAAGCACTTAATAGATTATCATGGTGTCCTTTAATCTTTAAAAGCTGTTGTATTTACTGGATAACAGAGCACACTAGCAACTTGTGAGTGAATAAACAGAAAAATTTTCTCAAAAAAAAAAAAAAAAACTCTTATAGTGGAATACTCTAATAGGAAATCTTAACAGTGGGTTCATTAAAAAAAAAAAAAAACAGGCCACAGTTCATGGATAGATTTCAGAGATAACAATCCTAATAAAATCCATGCATGTATACACAGGTACAGTTTTATAAAAAAAAAAGGGGGGGTATAATGTTCTTTAGTGTCCTCTAAGAGCCCAGGGATTGGGTAAAGGTTAGCAGGAAAGTAGCAGTCAATTAGAGAATTTCTAATATCTAGGGTTGCTTTATTTACTATGAAACAAGATGCCAGTTGCTATTCAAATATTCACTTTCCTACTTAGCAAAATAATCCTTAATTTTTAACTAGATATACGAAGCACAGGGGAAAAAAGGCTATAACTGTCATATTATCTTGTAGTTAGGAGTGGACATGGACTATATATGTTCTGGTCTAAAGCAGGTAAACAAAAGTTATATTGTAGCTTTCCAGAAAGTCTTTTAAAAAACAGAGCTGATATAAACCCTCTCCCAGATTTTCTTCATTGTTCCTTCCTACAAATGCTGCAGTCTGGCTGGGCACAAAATAACCGAGCCGCCACGAGGCACTTGTAGGTTCAAACAGGAACTACTTTATTGCCCAAACTCCACCAGCACTCCACAAGCACTTCCCGGGAACCCTCTCACCCTCCACCGGGCTCTCGGAACCCCTCAAGAACTCAATGGGAACTCCAAAGTAGTGGGCACCTGAGGCAGCAGGAGCCGCCCTATTGCCGGACAGCAAAGGTCTATATACAACTGAATACACAGCTTAACTTAACCATCATCATCTCAATGGCTCGCTTCACTCCCTCTGGCAAAATGCCAGGTGCCACCCCGACTGGCTGTGGCCCTCAACACCAGGAAATACTGTGAAATGGAAAGCTAAAAAAATGACATGACACTATGCATGGTAGCACATGCCTGTAATCCCAGCAACTCAGGAGGCTGAAGCAAGAGACTTGCAAATTCAAGGGCACCCTGGGCCATTTGGTGAGACTCTTAGAGTGACCCTGAGTTCAATCCTTAGTACACACACACACACAAAAAGACAAAAGAGCAAGAAAACAGGAGCTGGATTCCTAATCACTGAGCTGCCATGAGGCTATCTCCAAATCTTTGACCATAAGAAAAAAATTGGCTCCTATTTCATTGTAAATTTTGTCACAAGTAACCAAACCTAATATAATCCACTGTGCTAAATCTATGTTTCTATTAGTTCTCAGTTCATATGCAACAATTAGATAACACTCAATTCTCTCATGACAATAGCACACATAAAGTGTCTCTACTAGCTTACCTATCGACAATATTATCCAGAAACAACCTTCCAAAATCTTCAATAAATAAATTCTCCAGCCTGAAAACAATCTTGGAGAAAATGTAGTAGCTAAATAAAAATATTATTATTAATATTTATTTTTTGTTGCCTACAAAGTATAAAACTGTGCATGATTATAATTCAACATATTTATCCTTTAAAAATTGCTAATTCTAGTGCTTGTGAATTAATGTTAGTAATTTTGTAAACATCTCTCATCTTGAAACAGAAACCTAGAAAATACACACTTTTTATGCTTCAACCCCTAAGGCCACCTGATATTATTTTTAAAAATATTAATTACTTGTTGAGAAATTTCAATGAAAGACTTCTTAATAGTTTATGAAACCCTAAAAAGATCTTATTTCTATGTGAAACAATAAAAATATGAAAATCTGAAACATAAAAATTTGAGGGCCCTAATCTTAGTATAACTCACTTCACCTCCCTACTAAGCTAAGCCACAACACTTCAGGATTGGAATGCATACGTAGAAAGCTCATCTTTGATCTACACAATTCTATTCCACTAAACTTGGGTAAGCAAGAATGAATTAAAACATTTTTATAAAGTAGAGTACAACAAAAAAAATAGCTTATAATTCAATCCTATCACCAGAATACAATGACAGAACAAACTCACTTCTTTGTTCCTAAGATATTTCAGAATAAAAACAAACAAAAAAAAATAGTAAGCATAACAAAAATACAAAACAATAGTAAGGACTGGGGTTGTAGCTCAGCAATAGAGCACTTGCCTAGCTTGTGTGAGGCACTGGATTTGATCCTCAGCACCACATATAAATAAATAAAATAAAGGCCCATCAACAACTAAAAAATTTTTTTAAAAAAATATTAAGCAGTGCTGGGGATATAGCTTAGTTGGTAGAGTGCTTGCCTTGCATGCATAAGGCCCTGGGTTTAATAGTAAAATAAAAATAGTAAGCATAAATGAAGAACACAGATGAATTTTAATGAAATAACTACTGGTCCCAATACATACAAGAAAGTTGCTTAATTTTTAAATACTTTTTAAAGTAGCAATATTCAGATCTTGGGACACTGCAGCCACTACCATAGCCCCCTCGATGTGGTAGCCTCCACCTTGGGACACAAGACAGAGCCTGGAGGCAGCCACCTGCCACAGCACCACCTGCCACAGTGCTGTATCTCTGAATGGGCCAGACAATGCCACCACAGGGTCCGAATTCGCTACCCCATCTCTGAAAGCAGTCACCTCCATCTTGGGACACCTCTGCCGCCATCTTGGGTTGCCTCCACTGTCACCATCGCCATCGCCATCTTTACTTGGGACAGCTTTCATCTTGGGACATTGGCCAGGATCTGGAAGCCCAACATCAAGGTACCCCCAGCCACTAACCCGGCCCAGTGTTTGCAGCTACAAGGACAGACAATAGCTCTCAATGCCTGGTCCTGATCTGCCTGATACAGAACAGGTTTCCGTGACAGGCACAGAGATCCTGGCACTCAGCCCTCAGGACCTCTAGAGAGAAAGATTCCTGATTGGGAAGTCTAAAGTATGGGGGTGGAAGAGATACAGGTTAGACACTAAATTTGAGACTAGGAATTGTAGGGTCCACAGATGATGTAAGGGGCTAAGACCAGGATACCATGTCACACAACTGGACCCCAAAGGAGCTATCCCAAAGGAGAGTCCTGGGGTGCAATCTTCCAATGGGGACTGGCAATTGCTATACTCTGCCTCCAGGAGTTCCACCTCCATGTCTGACCCTCCCACTCTAATAACCTTCACCATCTTGAGGGTGGAGATTCCAGCAAACTCCAGAAAACCCCATCAATCAATAAGGAAAGCAAGGAAAATACTGAACTCCAACAGAAACAATTGTTCAATTTTCCTTAGTGATTTTTTTCTTTTCCTGTCCTCACAGCCCCAACATTTGTGAAACCAAGTACTCTTCATGCATCAGGCTACTGAGAACTGGGATATCTAAATAGTATATTACAATTTATTGTATATTCTTTTATTTTTACATTTTTCCCTTTTCTTTTTATTTTTTAACTCACTCTTTATGTTTGCCTCATTTATGTGTTTCCCCAGAGTCTCTTTCTCTCTCTTCTCCTGTTAAGAACCAACTTCTTTAGATTCCTCTTTCATGCTTCCTATGATTTAATGCCTCTATATTATCACTCCCTACCTCATTAACATCTCATCCTACACCTGCCATTCTCTCTTTGCCCAACATTAGAATCTATAGATTCTTATGCAAACGTACTGTTTATATTGTAGACAATGATAGAATACATCATTTCTGTTTATTGCAACAAAACTGTAAACGTCTTAATAGAGATATTGTGTTTAACACTGCATAGTATTTGCACTGGATGCTGTTAATATTGCTCTCCCCTTTAAGGGTAAGGTATTGGAAACCTGCAGGGACACCATAAGTCTACGGGGTCGAAATTATAACACCTTGGATCCATACTGTTAGAGAGGAAGACACACAAAC